CACCATGTCTGATCCAGAAGTTCATACCACATTTCAGTTCTTCCTCTTAAATTAAATGTAAAAAGAAAAATAACAACAAAAAAAAAAAAAAAAAAGGGAGATGGCGGGGCAAGAGAATTAGAGGAGAGGAGAGGAGAGGAGATGGTGAGGCAAGAGAGGAGCGGAGAGGCGAGGGAGAGGAGGAGGAAAGGAGATGCAGAGGCAAGAGAGGAGAGTGGGGAGAGGGCGGGAGAAAGTTGGGGGGGAGGGAGGAGGCAAAGAAAAGTTCGGAGAGAAGTTTACCACCGTCTTCACCCGAATAGAACGCCCTGTAATTATCGCTTCGCTGTTTCTGAACTGACAGTTGCCCCATATACAGTTATAAATTATAATGACCGGGAGTTCAATTCGGGTGAAGACGGTAGTTTTTGTTTGTTAACTTTGATTTGTTTTTCTTCTGATAGAAAACACGATAGTTTTTATCCTCCTATCTTTTTTATTATCATAGTTATTCAATCAAAATCTGGTTGAGCCATTTTGAAAGCAATTAATTTGAAATTGAAAAATTAAATGTACCAACAAGGTGATGGCATTCGACGATGCAGACCCCGAATTCGAATTTCAGGGTCTAGGTCCCAGGCCAAGGGAGGCCCAGTCGGCCCGGTCGGCCCGTTCGGAAAGGTCACAGTCGGGTACACCTTAAGAGTCACAAGTCCAACAGGCACCCGTTGAACTGTTACATCCCAGAGGCAAAGGTTGCGTTCCGTAAGCAAAAGCCACGTCTCATCATCTTGAAAAGTCACATTGAAAAGTCATATCCCACAGGCAAAGGACACGTCTCCAGGCAAAAGTCACAGGACTCCAGGCGAAAGTTGTGTCCCAGAGGCAAGAGAGTCGCATCCCACAGTCAAAACAAGTCGTATTCCATAGCTGAAAAAGTCGTGACTCACAGACCCAAGCAGCAGCACACCAACTTGAATGAAAATTTGGGAAAAAGTACACCACGCCTTGACATTCTGAAGCACGCAGGTCGTGGGGCCGGTGTGGGCATTATGTGCTACCGGGCCCAAGTCAAGCCAAAGGAAGCAGAGGCTGGGACGAGTTGAGGCGCAGTCCAAGTCAATATAAGGACTGGCCAGCCACATTTCAGGGGAGATGGCTCATTCGTGAGAAGTGTGGAAGTGCTGTTGAAGTGCTTGTGCGCTATCTGCGAGTAGCATGCGTGCGAGAACCCTGCTGGGCAGCGCTGCGCTGAGAAGGAAGGCAGCCATAGCCACATAGCTAGTAGTAGAAGATAGAGCTGGTTAGAAGCGGATGTATTCAGAGTCAAGATTCTCAAGTAGAGAGAGAGAGAGAGAGAGAGAGAGAGAGAGAGAGAGAGAGAGAGAGAGAGAGAGAGAGCATGCATGAAGAAGACCAGGAGGGACAGAGAGAAAGAAAGAGAGTGAGCCCGGGAGAGAAGAGAGGCACCTACCTTCGATGAGGATGCTAGTATTGGGTTGTTGAACTCTGCGCTGCCGAGCGCTTGGTGACTGACTGGATCTCCGAAACCGTGTTTAGTGTGATAATAACTTGTTGGAATTTCTAAGCTGCGCATATCTGGACTTCGCATCTCTGGACTTCAGTGATTTCGTGTGATCTGTCAATATGTGTGTGTGTGTTTGTGTGTGTGTGTGTGTGTGTGTGTGTGTGTGTGTGTGTGTGTGCTCAAGGTGTCGAGCAGTGAGGCTCAATGCAAAGGGCATGTATGCTGAAATAAACAGGTCATTATTTTTTCATTCTTACCATTTTTGTTTCAAAAGAGAGGAAGAGAAGGGGAAAAAAGAAAAAAAAGAAAAAAAAAAGGGGAGGAAGCGGACGAGAGAGAAAAGACAAGAAGAGAGGGAAGCAAGGGGAGAAGGGAGAGGAGAGAAAAAGGAGGAGAGAGAGGAGAGAAAGGAGAATAAGAGAGCGAGAAGGAAAAAAGAGGGAGGAGAGAAAGGAGAATAAGAGAGCGAGAAGGAAAAAAGGAGGAGAGAAAGGAGAATAAGAGAGCAGTGCGAAAGGAGAGGAGACGGGAGGAGAGAAAAAGGAGGGCGGAGGGAACACGGCTATGGCCTCAAAACAAGGACAAAGAAGCAAACGGCACGGGGGAAAGAGGACCAAGGATGGAAAATGAAAGCGGAAGCAGCTGTAAAAATGGCGGTGGGCGAACAAAAAAAAAATCTTATCCTTTTTTTTTTGTGTTCGTGCGTGGGAAAGGAGGGGGGACGAAAACGGAGGGGGGCAGCATGGAGAGGAGAGAGGCAGAGACGGAGAGAGAGGGAGGACCTCAACACAACCAGCTGCTCATGGTGTCTTAAACCACCAGTACTCGGCCCAGCTATCGATGTCGGGCCTGAAAACGGCCTGCGCGCCATTTCGTGCCGCCCCCCCAGCGCAACCAAAAAAAAAAAGTTTTGGCTGGCGGCGTCGGCTACCCCGGGCCTCCCGTGATATAATCATGGGAGAGGTAGATAGATAATATGATATCATCATACAATATGTCATCTCTTATGAGATTAAATTCAACGCTATTAAATTAGTGATAGATTTTGGTATATCTGAAAATATAGCTTATCTAATATCAATCTTCTTACCTATAGTTTTACTACTAGTAATAATGATTTTAGGCGTCTTAGTAACTGTATGGTTAGAAAGAAAAATTTCTGCAGGGGTACAACAAAGGATAGGACCTGAATATGCTGGATCTCTAGGTATTATGCAAGCTATAGTAGATGGAGTAAAACTTCTTATTAAAGAAGATATAATTCCTGCTCAAGGAGATAAATGGTTGTTCTCTATTGGACCAGTTCTAGTAGTAACTCCAGTAATATTAAGCTATTTAGTTGTACCTTTTGGAAAAAATATAATTTTATCAGATATTCCTAACGACCACGCCCCGCGGCTGATGTATGGGCCAAGTACTGGTGTACCCGCCGCGGGCCGATGTACTTGGCCCATACATCGGCCGATGTACTTGGCCAAGAACATCGGCCAAGTACTGGAAGTGGTTTAAGATTAGTTTTGAAAATAAATGGGAGAAGTGGTGGAACGTGCAGAACCACATATTGGTTTACTTCATAGAGGTACAGAAATTTTAATTGCATATAATAATTAAAATTTGAATATAAAACCTATCTACAAGCTTTGCCTTATTTTGATAGAGTACATTATGTTTCTATGATGGCACAGGAACATGCTTATTCCTTAGCTGTAGAAAAACTTTGTAATTGTGAAGCACCATTACGAGCTCAATATACAGCCAAGAAAATTTGGGAACACCTTCAACTTTTTTGTCCGTGTGCCGGCACCAAGTGCG